CCTCCCACGGACAAGTCATTTCACAGGGCAGACACCATCAGAGCAGGCACACTGTCCTGTCAGATGGCACTCCTTGGCAGAAAGAACCAGAGCGTGCCAACTCTGTTGGATCTGGTGGGACGAGCAGAATTAATGGGAGACAAGTTAACCTAACTTAGCTCACCTAAACCTATATATAGGCTTTATACAACATTCTGAGTAATGGCCCTGACTAGTGATGACCTGAAAGGATTTTTTTTAAGTCTACAAACACACATTGGAGATAAAAATAGCTGGGTGCAAGACTTTTAACTCTTAAAAGTATCATGTGATGTAACTCATGTTTTGTCCACAACAAAAATAATTAAATGAATGCAGAGAAATAGAATTTTACAATGAGGGTTTGGGGTTTTTTTCGAGAGAGAGGGGGGTAGTATTTCTCTGTCTTGCAAGCCATCTATAATATTTATGTATGGGTACCTGAGAGGTGCTCTCAAATGGCATTTTAATTATGACAGGTTGAGAAACATATGCTACAAGAATGCCAAAGCTGTAATGTCTTGCTCTCACAAAAGCAATTGGCAACAACTCTAGTTGCTCATAAACATATGGCAAATTACTAATCAAGCCAAAGCCTTTAGGGAAAAAAAAACAGGCATTTGTTGGAAACAAGTTAACACACGCTCTTAAGGAAATGTTAAAACCAAATGCCAACACTTGATGTGAACAAACAACAGTTGAATGTCAGAACTGAATAAATCATTTCCCCTTAAACACCCATCTATAATTTTATTTGCTGTAAACTTGTTTTATCTTCCCTGAAATTGTTCAGACAACAGTACAAAACACATTCCTAATTCTTAACTATTCATGCTTCACATATCTAGTTATTCCAAACTAATTTCAGGGTTCCCTAAAAAATCAGCAGCAATTGCAGTATGTTGACGCTATTAAACAAAACAGGAACAATAAATCACTTCTAATTTCACACACAAGGTTGTTAAACTAAATAGTGCAAGCCTTGCATTGTCATTTAAGATATGGCCAGGAAGGAAACGTGTTATCCACAAGACTAAGGTGTGAGCTTTTGAGTTAATCTGTAGACTGCAAGTCTGTGATTTGTTTTAAAACAACTGGGCTGTAACTGTCAGGTTTTTTTAATTTAAAAAAATAACGGAACAGGGAAGGAAACGTCCTCAGCAGGATACAGTTGATTTCCTTTCTAGACAAGGCCAAATGTGAAGCTACTTTGCAATAGAAGAGCTAATAAACCCAAGGTAACAAAGTAGTTTGCAGCTGAAAC